CAAAGCACGGTTGGGACCACATTCTATCGCTTTTCAACCAAAAGGCAAACGAGAATTGGAAATCTCCCAACTGAGAAATCAATTGCAGTAAATGCGACTCGATCACAAATTGTTGTTCGAGCTATTGCGTTGCATAGGCGTGGAGTACGATCAAACTGCCGGTAATAGTATGGTGGTTGATGACGAGTGGTGGGATAGTAAAATCAAGGTAAACAAAGACTCATTCCCGTTATGAATTTTTTTTTTTTGCGTATCCGCACATTCACCTTACTTGTCGATTTGCTTTATGTAGCCAGTTCTGTTGAACCAAAAGAAATGTATTTCTACACCCATTGTTAGTCATCAAGATAAGTGTTGTCCATAAACTGATTTGTAAATTCACGCCAATAGGACTGCTAGTTCGAATGTCATGTTTCTATAGTGTGTGTACTTTTGCCTGACAATTTGTATACATTCTGCAACGAGCTCCAAAGTTAAAATTGCGTCTGATCTATACAATGTCAGTGTTAACCTCATACCCGAAAATTGAATTTATTTGACAGTAAATGCTTGCATGTCTGAGAGGTTATATGTATGCTGATTTGGTTTCGAGTCTGTCATTTTATTATTTTGGTTTTATTGGACTACTGAAAGTAGCATGAATTGTATTGTGTCGTGCACTCGTCCACGACTCGTCTGTGTGCACTACATGGTAAATGTAGTGCTTTTCCAATACCTACATGAACAATGGTTCTTGCCGTTTTTGTTAGGCAGGAGAACCCTAAGTATGAGAGGTTTAGAAATAAGGATGTGGGATAAATTTTCGATCGGTACAGTCGTCTATTTGGTGACACCTTCGATCCTAGCAAGTATGCCTCCACCCCGACCAAGTTGTCATGGCGTGGGTTTGGCATGCACAACGATAATGCCAACAACCAAGTAGTTGATCGATTGCCAGTATCTCTTAAAAGTAGTTTGTCCAGTGATGAACCGGAATTTGACCATTCAACTACATCTAAGTCACGATCGAGCAAGCATAGTGGCAGCAAACGTAAGTCCACATCCTGTTCGAAAAACGGCAAAAAATACGGAGCACGTGCGATCTCAACTTCAGTGGATTGAATGGATGACCTGTTCGCAGAACTACTGTCGTTTACTCGGAGAAATAGTTCAAACGATCTTTCGTTTGAGGATGGCATCCTGAGATCGATGCTACTGGACTTGTCTATAGGACCAATGATTTTTTCATGTTCGCCTTATCATTCATCGGCATTCGTGGAAACAAGGACATATGGAAGGCTACAAAAGACGAGGCGACGAAAATGCGTTGGTTGAAGTGATCCTATGATAACTACAAGGAATGTAAAGTCAGTTCATCACGTCATCTTCCTTTTGATGGGTAGTCGATTATCTAAACGGTTGAATATTTACATTTGCTAGGTTGGTCAGTTGTTTTGGTCTTGTGTCGTTTGTTTACAATTGTTGTGTGGTTTTCGGATCTTTTCAAACTATTGTATAATGAATTTTGTGTCAGACTATGCGAAACCTTTGATGTTGGTTTTTATATGTATTCGTGCTACAAAATCTTTTTACATACTGTTTGTGCATGTTATGGCCTTCACCCCTGTACACACTAGTACTTGGGGATTGGAAATATAAGAAGGTGATCCATCATATCCATCACCTTTTCATAATATCAAATCAATTGTCATGCAAAAAATCTAACAAAAAGATTGATTCCCTGCAATTGTTTTTTCATGGAGGGTACAACACTGGCCAATATATATAAAAGCGTAGGTCGTAGAACAATTCATTGAAATCAGGCTATTAGACACCAAAGACACCTTTTCTAGTCCCCTCCACAATCAAGTTTTGTCGATCATTAAAGTAATACTTTCCTTTTGCTTTCTCGAAAGCACACATGTCACAATATCGTTTCCGGTACTACAACCTTCAACCAAACTCCCATGTGTTGGATACTTCGAACGACGAGGTTATGCAACAACTCGAAGAGGACATCGAAACATGGCTTGGATATTATCGCATTTCCGAACAAATGGTTCGTGACTATTTGCATCGTTCAAAAGAACCAAGATCTCAATTTCCTTATGTACGAAGCGGACATCTGTTCATGCTACAAATTTTTCATGCATATCCACAAACATGTTTTCAAGAGTTCCGGATGTACCCACGTATGTTCACACATTTCACGCACATGCTCCGTGATGAGTATGGTTTCCAAAGCAGTGCTTATATTGACATCTACGAATAGGTCGAAATGTTTCTGTGCGTCCGAGCACACGGAAAGGATACAGACACGTACAAACACATTTTGGCCATTCGTTGCAGACGATCAGCCACCATTTCAAAGTAGTGCTTCAGCTGTTGTCACATTTGCTGGAAATGTTATCAAGCCCGACTGTAATACAATTACGGAGCCGACATCATCATTCGGACCTTATTAAATATCTATTGTTCCAAGTTACGAAAATGAAGCTGTATCGTGAATTTGTGCCAATACGTATCATTTTGTCTTCGTTATAATGCAACATTTGTTCAATATTGTGTCGTGTATTAATGTTTGATGGTGATGAGGACTGCATTGGAGCAATTGATGGTATGCACATGAGGGCCGTCTTATCGCATCACAAGCGAGAGAATTTCAGAGGACGAAAAGGGATTCCAATGCAGAACGTGATCGCATCATGCGATTTTAACCTATGCTTCACATTCGTGCTCCCTGAGTATACAGAAAATATGCAGGACGGTCGTATTTTGGCAAACGCGATACATAATCCGAATATTAATTTTCTTGTTCCCGTCCTAGGAGGTACTATCTCGTTGACTCTAGATTTGCACACCGACCGGATTATATGGTGCCGTGCAAAGGATCGAATATTCGTTATCATTTTCAGGAGTTCCGTACGGTGCTAACAGGCAGACGGCTAAGATTTCGAGATGCACGAGAACAGTTTAATTTCTATCACTCGTCCTATAGGAATGTCATCGAGAGGTCATTTGGAGTATTGAAGCAACAATGGAAAATTCTTGATCTTATGCTAAGCTACTCGTTTCCTGTGTAAACAGATGTTGTTGCAACAATGGTGGTGCACAATTTTTTGAGACGCAATAGCAATGCAGGCGAAGCATTTCGTAGAGCAGAGCGGGAAAGTGATAACGAAGTAGAAATATATCTCCCATCGGAGCAAGACGAAATCGCAGCAGAAGTTGATGCAATGGCGGAGAAAGATTTACCATGGGACCAACTGCGTGATTATATGATGCACTAACTACGATAGTGTGATCTTGAGGCTAGCATATTGCAACACGAATGCTTACGATTTTACTATTTGACATTAAAATAAAAAACGTTGTTTTTCGTTTTGGATTGTTAGCTGTATGTTTACGATTTTGAGAAATACAAAACTTGACAAATAATTCGAACACGTAAAAACGTAAACGGTTCTACCAAGAGGAATAGATATTTTGGAAATTCAAATATGCAATTATGGTCAACGTCTAACATAATGAAAAGAAAATTGTAGAAAAAAATGAAAAGTATGGAAAAGAAATTTCACAAGCAACCGTTGCGTAAAGACCCACATAGAGGGGTTAGGTGAAGTGAGGAATGTGGGTATTAATGGAAATGTAGAGTAGTAGGTAGAGTAACATTCTGAAAAGAGGGAATCAGAGCGTCAGACCAGGTTCTTTTTTTATATATATATAATTTTTCATTGTTCTTTAAATTGGTTTTGTTCACCAAAATGGCTGGCGAACAGACGCTCAAAAAAATATAAAATTACCATTTTAACCATTTAAAATTAGTCAAATTATTGTCAATATCAATTATTTGATTAAGTAACGGATAAACTAATAGAAACCATCCATTTGGACTTGAGTTGCGACATTTTGAAATGTTTGGTACTGTGGGTGGTACAAATGAAAGGTTTGGACAAAGTCTACTACTAAATAAAATGTTTGATACTGCTCTTACAATTATCCCAAATTTAAATATACATTGACTAACTTTGAACAATGAGCTCAACACAAAAATATAACCTGTGACATGTTTGAAATAAAAATAAACTGCAAACAAAATGTTAAGTAAACTAAAACTCCCATTTAATCCATTTCGACCCTCTTATTATCTCTATCATACTGAATTGCCCGACACTCGACGGAGCAAAATGGTTTATCACTGCATAAAATGAAACGTTGTTACAATTTAGATGGTTCTGTGCCATTATTTAGCCCTATTTGGTGGGTTTTTTTTTTTTTTTGAAAAACATTGTTTTAAATAGTAATTTTTTGGAGAATGTGTGATTAAGAAATAAGGCAAAATTTTGGATTTATGTTTATAATATTTTACTGCGTGAATGTGTAGTTGAAAATGAGTATGTAAAAAAAATAGCTTTGAAAAAATGTGAGACAAACAATGGCTTAGTTACAAGTTATAAATACCAAAAAAAAAAAAAAATTTGGAAACATCCAAAAAGTGAAATTATTTTGTTTAAATTCTATTTCAAATTCATAAATCAAAAGGAAAATTTGCATAATGCATATATGATAGATAGGTTCAAGGCAAGTGAACATAAGAAGTTCTTTCCTAATTATTTTATTAAACATAAAAGAAAATTAAAATCCAAAAATTAATTTCTTATTCAAATTAATAAACTGCAAATAGTTAGCATAACACAATGCATGCACGAAGGATATCAAGACAAGTGAAAAAAAGTAAAAAAAATAAAAATACTAAACAAAGAAAAATCTAAAAAAATTCGACGAGTCACATGAATTGTTAATTCTTGTAAATTAAGAAGTTATTTTTAACTCGAACTGAATTTGGAAGAAACAGCATATAAAAGAGGAAGGAAATATAATTTTTTTAATAAAATAATATTATTGAACTTTACACCCATGAATTCTTGTCCCTTTTTTTCCTCCCCAGTTTTTGCAACATTATCCTGTCTTGCCTAAAGAAAGCTCACAATCAGATACTCATCTGAAGTTAACATAGATAATTAATCCTGCACACGATCAAGGTAAATAATTTCTGCTTGTGAAGAAGCTCGTCGACAACGAAGCATCTCTTTTGCCATTACCATTCCTCCGTCTGTCGAAGCAGGCTGGACACTCATCCTTTCAAGAACAGGAGAATTTGCAAGCAGAAAATTGATGAAACTCAGTTCTTGTTTAATACCAGAGATCCCAACAATCTTAACAAGCCGCAGTTGATTTAATGGGAGACGCTGATAATTTTCCACATTATTCGAAACTGATCCCATAGTAGCATGTCCCTCTGAGCGAGCCTATTAAAGTCACCATAAAAATATTGACGAAATCCTCAAAAGCAAACTATGAACAATAAGAGGATTAAATAGACGGGTTCAAAACTTTTAGCGAAAGTTCAGTTCTTCATTAAATTCCATTCTGTTTCAAGTTGGTCAATAAGCTTAAAACTTTCTGATGATTTAGTTATTCCATCCAGAAATACCCCATAAAGAATATGAAGATAAAAAAATAATCAATTTTTTTCTGGATCCCTTGTTTCACTTTAATTGTAGTTCAATTAATCACAGCACCACCTAACTCTGTCAAAGCGGAAGCTGCTAGTTTGAGCCCATCAGTCCAATGAATGTAAGAATGTTAACATTCAGCGACCAACTTGAAATAAAACTTACATTCAATGACCAACTTCGAACAAATGAAGTTTAGTGATCAACATCACATCTCGCTTAAGTTTAGTGACTAAAAAGAAACAAATGAATGACTAGAAGCATTCCATTAAAGCAAAACAAGGACATGTAGCAACAGTAGGGAGGATGCAAGAAAACTTACAAACAACTCGAGCTCTTGAAGGTTAGGACAACTGCGAACAAGACAAAGAGCAGCCAGATTCTCCTCCAAGTCATTAAATTCAATGCGTATCGAAAGATAAGTAAGAACCATACAAGGTGTAGGCAGCTTTACTGGTACACCGCCAGCAGCCAAATACTAGACAAAAGTCAAACAAACCAAACGTGTACTCAGTTAGTCATTGGTTCTGGCTCTCTATCCACTTGGAGGAAAAATGTCGAGAAAACAAATAAAAACTTCAGATCATAAATTATGCAATTCAATGTTATAATCACTTCTAATGAGCAACATGCTCATCAGTGCCTGAAATTTCTGAATTTCCAGGATAGATAAAAATGGATAGTTTACCTTCAAGAAAAAATTCTGCACCTTAAGCCTTTGAATACGAGGTAGATTAGCAAAAAAATTGATCAGATTACCAGTGCTGCCGAAAGCCACATTCTGGTCACTTCCAGTGTTCGCAACCAAGCTGATAGAGACAATAGCCAGATTGATGGTATCCTGAAAACCCACTTCTTCAAAAACTCCTCCAACGTCAAAGAAGAGGAGATTTGGAGCATGGATTTTAAGATGGGTAAAACCATCAAAGTTCATCAACGTCAGCCGCTCAAGGAAACGACAGCCGGATACCATAACCTCAAATGCACCTTGGTCCATGGTTATAAGCTGAAGATCAAGGCTCTTCAAGCTTTTAAAGCCATTAAATGTACTCGGGGGTTTTAAAAGACAATTAAAAAGTTTCAGATTGATTAACTTTTGAAAGGAGTACATAGAAGAAGGGAGCTTGTAACGATGTCCTTTCCATATTTCCAGTATAAATTCTTTAACGAAGCCCCTCGACAGGAAAAGAATCCATCTATCAACATCACTGACACCTTGAAGATCACGGTGAGAAAGCTTAAAGCTATGTATTTGGCCTGTATGAAGTAACAGCACGTGGTCGATAATGCTCACAAGTTTGTTCTTTACGAGGGTTTTATCTTGGGTGGAAATCAGGACAGACTGATTTTCAAATACAAGATGTGGAAGTGTAACCCATTTAAATCTCCACTTGCTTGACAAGACACTTGTCCTCACGGCATCCCTTAGTGGTAAACTTGATAAAATGTTGTCTATAATATGTTCCGGCAAGTTGCTAATTTTGTCCACCTCCATTCCCACGTAGCTAGGACCTGGGGTGGCTCTCTTTGCTTCTGTAGATCAACAAAATTGACAAATCCAATCACAAGAATGTAAATGAGAGACTATTTCAGCAAGTGTATGTATTACACAAATACACAATGAATCATTGACATGGAAATAAAGCAGAAAGGCGTGCATGAACTGCCATGGAACAGGATAATTTTCACCCTGTAACTGAAAAACAGTAAGATGAAAGTTACAAAATTTAACTGCCACAGTCTTGCAAGATTCTGTACAGTTAAATGGCAATTAGAACACCATTTTATTGAATATTTATTGGCAGCTAAAGCCTCCTGACTTGCAATATAACTAAACATAAGCATGAGCAATATCCTCAGCAGTGGTTTACACTGATTTGACCATTTATTATGTTCTCAAATGATCTTTTTAATAACGGGGTTATTTAGGCATGACAAAGGGATGAATAGAACTCAGGTTATGTGCTTTAGATGATATCCACAAACATCATGGACAAAAAATCAATACTAAGATTTTAAGAAGCACCAACAATATTGAGAAGGCCACATGTCACCAATTTCTCCTTGTCCTAGTTCCTTTGACCATGTCCAGGAAAAAAAAATAATAAGTCAAAATATTGAAGAAATGCCTGAAAATTCTTGAACAATATCAGACACTCCGACGAAGCTAGACTATAGGATTAACCATGAAATTTAAATGAATTTCATTTGCAATAAGACAAAAACGTAAATGTATAAAAGCAAAATTGTGTTAGATTTGAACCAGTAGAACTTCATTAAAATGGTGTAGGAAAAACCTGAGATAAATTATCCTTACACTTAAAATATATTGTTTCATAAAGAGCACAAGGGGGATAAGGGGAAAAGCTATACAGAAATCATAAACATTGATAACAAAAAAGAAGAGACAAATGATCCTTGCCATTAGCTCAAACTACATTATTTCACATGCAAAATTACACCTGGTTCCTCAACCTTTTCACGACAGAGCATTTAGGTTCCCAACCTTTAAAGGAGCTCCAGCGTCCCAATGGATGGAAAACCGTCAATGATAAAAAATAAACATTGTGCTGAGCTTGACCCTCACTTTGAATAACCACCAAAAAACAATAAGAACATAAAATCAAATCTATCACTTCTCCCAAGTCCCACCCACCCAATTACTTCACACTAGCATTAGCACCAGCACTACCTTCACCAACCTCGGCAGCATCAGGCCCCACCACAACTGGCACCCCACTCCCACTCCCACTCCCATCCACCATCCCCCTGTTCCCATAGTTCACAAAAATTCTGACCCATCACCCATGTGCTGAACTTCTGATAAACCATAGTATTCAAACTTTTCCAAATGCAAAAGATTTTTGGGGATTCAGTAAAATACTTGTCAGTGTGAATGAAATGCAGGTTTTAATTTTGTCTGGTGCACTTTTAGTTAATTCACTTATTTCCCTAGTACTGCTTCTGAAAACAAGCCATTCAAATTCCATTTCTCCCCCGCCCAATTCTTTCTACTCTGTGAAGAGCTTCGAATGTTGATAATCTTGTATTGTTCAAAATACAGGTTCAATTGTCTTTTTAACACTATATCTGATTTCCTAGTTCCTAATAGTCAAATGGCGGTTTCCATCAATTTGGGACCCAAAGGCTACGGAGTTGAAGGTTGGGGGACTCAGATGCTCTGTTATACAGATTGGGGGCCAAACCTAAATACTCTACGAAGATAAGTTGCAGAACCCTAGTGTAATTTTCTCCATTTCACAAGGCACATGTAGGCGATAATTAGATGATCCAGAAATAGAATAGCTTAAGTAAATAAGAATAAATATATAGATGTATCATATGTACTAATTCATTAGAAAGTCCTAACAATGTGTTGTGTCCTATATTTTGCAAAAATTATGTGTCCGTACATCTTTGTTGTGTTGCATTTGAATCCCATGTTTGTGTCCTTGCTTCTTAGTCAAGAACAGAGATCAATATTCCATTAGGTATTGCCAAATCTTTCAGTGTTTTAAAATCAGATTGTTTGCCCTTTCATCAATAGTCTCTGTATAACATAGTCTCCAGCAAATTGAAAAGTTATGCACACAAACACATGTGGAGGAGACATAAAATCACGGCCACTTATGCATGCAGACACACATTATCTTTGAAAGAAAAATTTAATAGCTAGTACAATAGTGTGAGGGTAGATCATTGCACTTTTGCAGTGCAAAGAAATTTAACCTTACCATATTATTCATGCTGAGTAATGAAATGTTAAAAGAAATTCAGACTCCAGTCAATACATTGATTGGTTATACTCATTTACCCTTTTTTTTATTTATAGATACAAATGCCAAATTATTAGCCCCCATTTGGCATATATCAATTACTGCTTGGAAATACAATTCTTGATTCTTTCTTTGGGTCAGATTAGCATAAGGGGTGAAAATCTTATTAGTCTTTCAAATAAAAAGAATATGTCATAGTATCCAGAAAAAAATTTGGCCTCTTTTGGCTTATAAGCCAAATTTTCGCTGCTTCTCGAGGCCAAAACAATCTATCAACAAATTTTTTCTGCTAATATAATCAGTGGGTACATTTTTAAACAGGCAACTATGTTTTCAGGGAAAAAAAGATAAATAATTGTGAAAAACAAAGTAGTCACAACAGATAAAGCACAAAATGCAAAAAAGGAAAGGAAGAAGGAGCGTAAACCTTTTACATTGTTTCATGTCTTTGTTAAATGATGATGGTGGAAATAAAAAAGATTCATGTTAAATGGGCATTCAATTAAAGATGAAAAAAATAAATTAAAGCAACTCTTACAGTAGTGAAGGATGATCTTCTGAATGCTAATGACTAGTTCCTCGGAGCTTTATTTTCAGGGAAAATCGATAATATCTTCAATTTTTTGGGGGATTCGGCCAATCAATAACTAACTGTAAGAATTATGTCTGTATGTGTTGAGTAGGGGGAGAAGGCGGGATCAACGGTTTTTAAGCTGAGAAACTACTTCGAAACAATTGCTATATATATGCCCCGGGAACCAGATACGCGTTTCAAGGGAGTTCTTTAAAACCCGCAGCGCAAAAGTAAGAACTCGAATAAGGGGATCGTCAAGACCTGGAGGATACGAAACTGAGGGTGACTCGAGGATGCGAAAAAAGTAAGGAATCGAATAATGGGATCGTCAAGAACTGGAGGATACGAAACTGAGGGTGACTCGAGGATGCGAAACTGAGGGTGTTGGTAAATGTAAGGTGACGGGGATGAAAAGCATTCTGCCTTCGAATTTTGTACAGTATTTTTTTTATTGGCCAATAAACTTTAAAATAAATTTGAATTAAAGTCAACTTTTAATTTTAACCACATATTTTATAGCATTCACAGCTTTTCAACCACATATTTCATTATTTTTTATTAAAATCTACTAAAAATCTGATTTTAATCTTTACGAAACAAGGACTTATTATTCTGTTGATCATTAAACTTGAAAAGCTTTTCGGATAGTCATCGAGTTTATCAAATCATAATCTCATCCATCACGCAATAACTCATTACTAGAAAATCCAACAAACGCTTGCCATATGATTCATGACATGACATATTATTGTTGTTAGTTGACGACGAAACAACAAACCTCCATATATTAAAAGTGATTGTAAAAATGCAATTCACTTTCGACGTTTGCATTTTTTTTTTTCATTTAGTATTTATTTTTTATTATTTTTCGCGCTAATTGCATTTTTATAAGCATATTTTTGGTTGATTTATCATCAACTAACGATAATAATGTGCCATAAGCATTTTGAATTGTTACGTTAGCGAGTTTGTCGAATTTCAGCGTCAAGTTATTGAATGATAGATGAAATAACGATTTGATAAGTTCAGTGACGTCTGGATTTCTTTTGAAGATTAATGGCAAATGAATCTTGATTTGATAAATTTGATGATCATATGAACAATTTTTTAAAACTTAATAGCCAATAAAAAATATTATTCAAAGTTTAATGGCCATCCGAATTTTTAATCCAAGGAAATGCAAACAAAAACCAGCATGCTTCTTTTATTGATACTTCGGGGAAATGCATTACCGTTTTGTCCCGTCGAGAATTCCCGATCATCCTCGCCTCGAATCTTCGACGCTTTGGTGGGAATATCCACTTTTTTTAGTTTTTTCATCAAATTTTAGGATTTTGAGGTAGTCACTTACGTGTATCAAGTCGTCAAAATCAAACAAATAATGAGTATCTTTCATATAGAATCGAGTCTTTGAACAACTTGAGCCAATTGATTTTCGGGTCAAATTCTAATATTTAGGTTGGTCAAATCGTCACTTATATATTCAAGCCGAAATTAGCTTCTATTTATTTGTTTTAGATTAATTTTCTTAAAGATTGTATTTGATTAGAAGACTATGTTAGGGTTTTTTATTTTCCTTCGTATATAAAATATGTTACGTATTGAAATTATTATGATCCACCTAGATGTCAAGTCAAATTTTATTATCAAATTATTTTTATAGTCAAAACTTTGATACAATTTTTAGTAAAAAAAAAAAAGTGAAAAATGAGGAAATATATTTGTTTCTAAATTAGGATTTTGGATAGGAGAATTTATTTCGAATCCATCAAATATTTTTTAGACTTCTAATCAAGTTTTCCAAGTGAATTATAATTTTAAAAATATGTAAAAAAAAAAAAAAATCAAAGATAAGAAAAAGGAAGGAAAAAAAATATAATTTGTAAAACTTAATAACAATTTTAAATGTAGCATGAAGTAAAAGAGTAAAATTGGAAAAAAAAAAAAAAAAAAAAAACGCCATCTTCACTATCAATGCTCCTTTTTGAAGAAAAAAAAAAAAAAACCTTTTTCGTTTAACAGTATGTTGGTATTTAAGGTTAACAATAATTTGATCCCTCCATGTTTTTATATTGAATTGTATTCTCTTTAAAAGTAATAATCTTCAAATGAAATATAATATTCTCACTCCAAGAATTATTCATGATCCTTCTACGGATTAAAATTCACCCTCGAAAACCATTGTTCATACCAGCAAAATGCCAATACGACTCTATTAGTCTAGTCGTCAATTCTACAAATCCATTACACGAGGCATCTAATAACTATCAATAGAACCTCATACAAGCTCTTCATGTAAATATGTCGAATATTACTTACAAAATGCACACTCATACATTCTTCTATCAATTTCTCTAGCTATAATTCTAAATTCTGCCCCTGCAAATGTTACACATGACAAGATGTCCTTAAATTATTCTCTCCTCTATACAGCATAATAGTTTAAACAATCAACTCACATATTCTATATTTTATTATAGTGCTGTCTTCTAAAATGCAACATCCTCGAACACTTGCTGGACTAAATTTTTTAAGTTTCGAAATCTGAGATTGAGAGTTGGCTCATTCTATTTCTAGGTACATTTCCTGGATGCCTGAGTCCCAGAGTGAGAGACACGTCTCCTGCCAGAGTACTCCCAAGCCTAACAAGGCCGGCGTTGACACCTTCATTAGTCGATATTCCCAAATCATGCACTCCGGCTGCCTCAGCCTCGTTCGTCATAAAACACCGGTACACCGCTGGCGTCAGGTCAGCACACGTGGTGGATATGGATGCAGCATAGGGGGAGGAGGTGCCACCTTGGAAACTGAGTTGGTTTCCCAAGGTGCACTGCCTATAATTGATGACGTTTTGTGAAGGGTCCTTTTCTGATGCATTCATTTCTGATATTTTGCTTGTTGCTAGTGGTGTGGTAGCAGTGTTGTGCATTGTAGTTTGTGCAGTGGTCACAACAGCAATATTTTGGCTATGGGTTTCTGAATTTGGTTCATTAATATTGTCTTGTGTTGCCGCAGCTGCCTCTTGTTCTTCTTGGAACTCCCGTTGATACATTTCTTCCACCATAGGCTTCCACAGCCTAACCCTAGCATTTATGAACCAATTTGATACCTGGAAGAAGTGAATTTATGATGTTTGGAGAAAGTTAGTGCAGTGGATACATGGATCATAAATGTACCTGTATTATTTGTGCAAATGATAAACCCTTTGTCCTTTCTTAGTGGGAATTTCCCTTTTTAAAAAAAAAAATAGCCATAGTTCGAAGTATTAGATGAGAATAGATGATATAAAAAATAAAATTATAATTTTTTGTTTTATTTATCAATAAGATGTGTAGGTATAATGTGTGTCCAATTGACTTGGTCTGATCTTATGCTAAGCATATAGATGACGTGTCATATGGGTCTCAATGTTTAGTATAAGATGAATACCGTGCACATTAGTTTTGCAGATATTAAAATCTAAATTTTAATTTAAATCAAAGTTAACAATTAATTTTAACTACATATTTTATGAATTCTACAACTTTTCAATAACACATTTTATCAACTTCTATTAAAGCCCATGTTTGGTACTAATTAAAATCTAAATTTTAATTTAGGTCAAAGTCAACAATTAATTTTAATAACATATTTTATGAGGTCTACAACTTTTCAATAACACATTGTATTAATTTTATCAAAATGTGCAAAAAAATTGATTTTAATTCTCACCAAACAGATACGTAGTTACAAGGGAATTTTTTATTAAACCCAATCAAAAACTTTGAAAGGCAAATTACAACTTCACAATATTATACATAGTCACTACTTTAGTTGCCTATTTTTTTATTTTTTTTTCCCTTTAAAATTCTTTATTTTTCATAAGTTTTATAGAAAACCTAGAAAATTATATGGTAAAAATTACATTTTAATAAATATATGACAAGCTAAGCTTAGTAGTAACTTGAGATGAAAGGATAAAAATGTCTATCTAATTAAATTCGCTACTGATAAGAATGAGTAAATTTTTTTCCTTTTCAATTTCTGCTCAACTAATTTAAGAAATTGACTAAATTTATTTCTACGCCAACTTAATTTTTTCTTGAAATTATTTTCTATAACATACCAAATCAGAGATGGTATTCCAATTTTTGAATGATATTTAATAATTTCATCTCACCACTTGCCATCCCTTCTACCCTCGTCTCTCCATTGACTGTATTTTGAAAAAGAAAAATTGTATTTTCGCTTGCTCATCATGTCTCTCCCCTTTGAATATATATGGAGATTTACTATAGTGGGAAAATCGATCTTACATATGAATAATACCTAGTCAACCATGTATAACTCCGAAAATCATGCAAATTTGTATGACAATGCAAAAAAAAAAAAAATCACCTGTGAAGTGTTCAAATAATAGGAAAACGAGCAATTTCAATTTTTTCTATCCTCCTAGAAATATTTTTAGCAAAGGTATTTTGAGTTTTCCCTTTCAAGAGATATGACGTATCAATTTTGATATGAAAAGATGTAATGAGTACCTGATTTTTGGATAAACCAGTCTTCCTAGACAACAAAAGCTTGTCTGCTTCACTTGGATACCTGAGACCAAAACAGATTGAAAATCCCATATCATTACATTAATGAAATTCTTGCATGGGAGTGATAAACAGCCAACAGCCACAAACAGAATAGGATTTATGTTTGATACCACAAATAATTAAGTGGTTCTGCCAGAAATCTACGAGTTTATAATGTGTGTATATGTTTGTAGAATAATGCTACTTGTTAATAAGCAGTTATATAAATGTACAGATGAGTTGTCAAAAATAAAATGGGAAGTTTTTTTTTTTTATTTGGTAGAAGAAATTTTGACACAATCATATCTCACCACATTATGCATAATACCTATTATGTGCATGTAGCACAACCGATGTTTGTAAGTTAGCATGTATATTATTTAGCTTAAATTATTAAAATGGGAAAAATTATCTCATCAAATGAAGGATATATGTTCAAAAAATTTCATTAATATGTTTCGTAACATGTTGAACAAGCACGTCTAAAAGCTTAAATGGTTACGGACATGGAAAACTTAAAATTATTTAACAAGAGAATGTATGTGTGAGAGAGAGAGAGAGAGAGAGAGAGAGAGAGAGAGTACGGATGGAGAAAATGCTCGAAGAGCCAAGCCCTCAAAATGTTAATAGAACGTTCAGGCAATCCTCTCTGGGGCCTCCAGGCTTCAGGATCCAGCATTCCCATGTGATGAATGGCTTTTTGCTGTCTAAACTTTTGTTCAAGCAGCTTAAGCTTTGGTGTCTCTCCCTTTGTCAACCCAGTACTAATTGTAACATCATTTTCCCCAAGAATCTCACAAATCTGCTTAAGCTGTTCAATTATTGCATCCTTTGTGCCCCGGAAATGCCGAGATATTACCTTCTGGGCTAGCTCTGTGTATGGCATTGCTGCCCCATTTCCAGTTACCAATTCAAAAGAATTCACCATTGCCTGCATCTGTTCGCAGTATCGTGTGTATCTTCCATCTATCTGCTCCCACAAATAAACAAAAATAGATCATATTAGTTGACCAACACAACACATCGTCCATAAGTTTAAGCTATATATAGGCTAAACACGCTCCGTCATGTGCGTAATTTTTATTAACGAGGGGCAATGAGAATTGAACCCAAGACTTGTGCCTACATACTATGATATTGAGATAAACTATATAGTCTAAAAAGTTCAACACTTGTTACATTTGGAAAACTACAAATAGCATATTTACCAACTCATGTATGCAAAAGGTCTAATGATTAAGTTCAAGGAACATGACCAGCACAAAGTCAAGCTTTTAATTAAGAACATTAATTTCTGCAATGTACTATGCTTTTCCGGCAAAGGAAGGTAGAAATAAAGTTGAGACAGTACTACTTTATCTGCACTAATTTATTAACATATTTATTAACATATACGTTCTTTAAAGCAAACATTAGGAATCTACGAAGAGGAAATGCGAAAAGATGTAATTATTAATTGATCTTGAACATAATGCAGGTGAAGGATGATTTCTTTATGTTTCCAAATAGTACTTCTAGTACAGTAGTTTTATGCTGGCCATTTCTTCCTTTTATCAAAGCCTGCCAGAATAAATTCTTTATAAATGAAGTATTTGATGTCTTCTAGCTTCCAATGATTCACCACCATGAATTATTTAAAGCAATTCATGATTATAAAAGGTTTAAAAGATAATGGTCCCCAAGTTAAGCAGAAGGGAAATAATTTTTCTTAACCAGAAGAATTTCTTAATTAAGGATGTTCTTACAACCTCTACAGGAGGCATGTCGTTCTTGAAACGACATGTACCCTTATCAGAAGACTGTCAGCATAAACATGGCTGAGAATAATTAATGACCATATTATACTAAATAGTCGGTAAAGAAATGATAAAGTTTGTTCTCAGTTTGGTGGGATATTCATGTCATTAGTTGGCTTCATATTGATTTCAAAAAAACAAACAGAAAATTTAAATATAATTCTTATAGAGCATGTTTGTCAAGGTGAATTCGACTGTATTAAGAAAAAAAGATGCACCGAATTCTTTGCCTATAATATAATTGACATAATTTCTTCCTACAGTGATTTGGCGTGCTGTGTGATTGCAGAGAGAGAGAGAGTGCGTGTTACATGCCTCATCAAGCATTGATAATAGCTTGATTTTTTTCCTCTGGTAATCGGCCCTTTCTGCTTGAGATAAAGGGTGGCGCTCCTTTGAGGATGATGCCCCAGCAGCACCCCTGCCACCTCCATTCAAGAGAGAATTAGGGTTTCTATCTTGCTTTTTCACTTTTTGATTCTTGAATTGCCCTCTCCCAACAGAGCAGAATTCTTCCAACAATTCTTGGGCAGATCTCAAATATTTCGAATTCTTCAAGCCATTTGTGATTCTTGGAGATCCAAAATGAATTTGATCATCCCGTGGCTGATTAAGCCCAAGATTATTTGGATCATAAGGATTACTTGAATAAGTCCCCATTCCTTGACTATGGAAGTAAATCCCACCATTTTCCATCCTTAAATCCTCGAATTTGGCGGATTCCAAGTGCCTCAACGACGATAACGATAAAGAAAGTCCTTGTCCCTCCATCATACTTTCGATTTTCGCAGTAGTATCATCCCCACCGCTGCCGCTAGTTATCCAAGTAGATTGAGGTGGAGGGTCCATATTAACCAAGGGAAATCCTTGAAAAGAAAAGTCCGATGAGTTGGGAAGTAACTTCTGGATCGAAGAAGATATAGGAGGAGAAGATGCTTTAACATGTGGAAACATAAAAGGAAGCTGCAATCAAAATTGATGAAAAATCACTTCACTTAAGTGTTGTATAGAATATTATTATAATTACATGCTTCTTTTTTGCTAAACAGACTCACCTCGGCCTCATGAACTTCTTCAGGAATTTGCTGTTTTTGCAGCCAACGATTATAACTTGACTGGATCTGCATCTGATCATCGAAAATTTCATTAGAAGGTTTTCGCCATGGCAAGTTTATGATCTCAGTCAGCATCTCTCCGGTATCATATGCCGGTGGCTGCCCAGATAAATCCATTTTCTCAAAACCTTGCACTCTAAACATTTCTTTTTCGCAAATCCAATCGCCTTGTTTGGCTGTCACAGATCTTTCGTATGCGTTTGAAATATTGTATATACCTTGTTGGAAGCTTTGGGACATGGATTTTTCAAGAATTAAGATTTTTTCAGTAAGAAACCCAGGAATTCTTTGCCTTCGGAGAGTCTGTTTTATTGTCTCCCTTTTCAGATTGAAAAACAGGAGAAAAGTATGCAAGAAAATTACTTCTTCAATGGAAATTTACCCAGCATGACCTTGTTTGAAAAAATTCCTAGCCTTAAACCTGCTTATTACACACAAAAACAGCACAATATTTACAAAAACTCAACATATAAGCATAACATGAGAAGTTATAGTTTGAAAAAATAGAGATTTTGAAGATTCTATATTCATTTCACTCTAACACTGCAGGGACTGCATAACCAATTCTTAATTCCTTCTGTTTTCTTTTCAAAATTATTCCCTCAAATTTGAGGGTTTTTCCATTCGTAAGTACCTTAAAGAAGCAAGATTGAATTTAATCCCTCAGAACCATCATTTTCTCTGTGCGTGATAGAGAAGTTTTCTTGCTGAATATATTGATCTGTGTGCTTGTGTGTGGTTCAAATTTGGTTCATGGAATCTTTGGTACAGTTTTTTCGACCAGACAGCAAGAAGCAGCCAGGAGAAGAGATAATGAAAGGAGATGAGAAAAGGGTCACCCGCTTCTTGTTCACTCCCTCACTTCACTTTCACTATACTTTCTAAATAATTTAAATTAACTATTCTAACGTATCATCTTTTGATTTTAATCTTATTAACTAAAAAAAGAGTGTTAAGGCATCGAAAGTAAAGGGTTGATGTCGACTATACGTAAATGAATTTTTTGCTTTTTAACGGTTTAAACTCTTAAATGACTTTAAGTGATTCGAGGTACTAATTAAACTCGCACGAGTTTTACATTCATATCCTGCATGAACGCTAAAATATGAATCGAACCTATATGCGAAGGATATTTTTTTAGTTCAACATAGTAATAAAAGTTATTTATAAGGGTTGTGCTATGGACATAGCACGCCCCGGGCACCCCCCAATAGAAGGTCTCCATATGTCCATTATGAACACCATTATGGGAAATACTATAATTCCAAATAGTTATTTCTCTGTCAAACCAAAATTTACCAGCAAGTGCACACCCCAGTTAACTCCTTTAGACTTTAGTTAATGGCCTAATAATTGGTTTCATAGGTTTCATCATATCAAAGAATTTTGACAGTTTAGACTCAAATCACAATGCATTATTGTTGGTGAAAAGAATCTTACTAAAGTAAATCATGGTGACAAATAAAAGCTCTTTCTCACCAGATGAGTATTCATCATACCAAAGTATATTTAATGGCTTATGTACAAAACTATGAAAATGTCCAACTCTTTGCAGCATGGATATCCATGTCTTGAGTATAAATTTTAAGTGAGAATAGTAAAATGTGCAGACTGACACTGCTCTCTATTGATGAATGGTAAAGACAAGAATTCAATCTCAAAGATAAATGAAAAATATTTCTCTAAAGGGTGGATTCAAATGACAAGCTAGGATCATCATTTGGGCAGTACTTTATATTTTTTTATGATATTTCTATATGTTACTATTCATTATTGTCCTCTGTATGAATTAAAATATTGATTTTTTTTATTTTAAATATAAAATGGGGATAATTAATTAAAGTGATGAGTCATTGCCGCGACATATTTACTATTTTGATTTCTTTCAAAGAAGAAAGTATAGTCCAATATGATACTCCTTTCTAAACTTGGGCATCACTTGAATTGAATTACTTTGGCAAAATTTTTTAGACCCCCTTTTACCTATTGTAATGGAAAAATATTTTTTTTTATTTTTATTTTATCAAAATGTTTTCTTGCTTAATGAAGGGCCGAGACATGTTGTATTGGGGTGAACTTCGTGTACAATATCTTATAAGAGTTATTCCTTCTCTATCGAACTCATAAAATGAGACAGCATAAATATATATTTCGTTCCTCCTTGTTTGGTACTTATTTAGAGGGTGTTTTGTGGAGATGAAAATTAGATTTTTAGTAGCCATAAAAGATGTGGTTAATATTGATTGTTTGACTTTGACTTTGACTTGAATTAAAATCAGATTTTAATCCGGACGAAACAGGGCTTTCAGTTACTTTTAAGTCAATTCTATTTTCCATATTATGTCTCAATCAAAACTTTAATCTTGTGAGGAAATATTGTTTCTCCTCTCACAAGTGGCCAAGCAAAATGGTACATGATAATATCATCAAGAGAAAGGGACCACAATTGTATGTTGTCGGGCATGTTATGAAATGGCATTTAATCCTTCATTAATAATTATGAGTGGACTGCCCATTAATTTTCTAGTGGGGGGACTACCAAAAAAGAGTTCAAACCTGCTAGTACATGTATAGATTTTAATTATTTATATCGAAAAATATTTGATCTAGGAGATTTTTATAAAAGGATGGAAAATATTATTTTATTGAAAAATGTGTGGTTGAAAATGAGAATTGATTTACTGTAGAAAAAATTAATCTCTTCCAAATAGGGCCTTAAGTTAGTTCACCCGAAGAATACTAGAATTGAAGATAACGTAACATAAATGCAATTCATAAAAAAATACATTATGCACTTAAGAATGCAATTGTTTTTTTTTTTACCTTGAAAAGGGGCTTAAATATTAGGGTCTGTTTGATTGGTAAAGATGGAAATACTTTCCAATTTTATGTAAGTTGGAAAATAAAAATTCAAGTACTCCATAGTAATACATTTTTCATGAAATTGACAAAAAATAAGTTTAAAGTGATTGTACCTTGAAATTCGAACTCCATTTCCACTTTCATAACAAACAGCCAAAATAGAAATTGGATTACTCAAATATTATATTTTTCATGAAATTTAAACCAATCAAACGAACCTCTTTTGCAAGTTGCAACTTGTGACATATTAAAGTGATCGTTCATTGGAAAAGAATTTCGAGATAGATTTGACACGTATGATAAAAGTGAATTAAACCGTATTCGATAATATTAAAGAGAAAAAAAAAAAAGACAAAATACAATTTAATCTAATTTAGTATTGTGTACAAAACATGCTCATGTACCGGGCAGAGCTAGAAGGGAATTAAAAACAATTTTAGGAGGAATAAATATATAAAAGTAATTCCACAAAAAGGACCTGTTTTTTTTATAAAAATAAAATATTCTATGTAAATTTTCTTCTTCTTCTTCTTCTTCTTCTTCTTTTTTTAAATGGTGGATCCCCTAAATTTGCCTCTGCCCATGAAGAAGTAGAAGAAAAAGAAAATAATAATAATAATAATAATAATATTCTAATGAAATCAAATTAAAATTATAATAGATTAAAAATATGTTTTTCACACGAATCCATCAACTCATTAATGAAGTTAAACATAATGCCAAAAATTTTATTCAACAAGTTGCATGAGCGGTAGAATAATCTTATACATAAATTGATTTTCTCATTTATAACGTTCTATGAAATGTCACCAGTCAATTCAACATTTCAACTGTCTAGATTATTGCTTGGGCCTATATTTTGCAAATAATTGCCAGACCCGGCCCACCAAGAGGGGCCCCAACCTCTCATTTTGCCTGGAATCTTTCCCTGGAATCTTTCACATTCTCTCCATGAAAATAGTTAAATACTGCAAAAGTCCCAACTTGCGATATTATCTTATTTTATTTCCACACTTCTTTGTAAGTCACTTTCTTGGAGAAGTACCTTAATGGAGTATGTACAAAAACTGAAAAATGGAAGGATGAGATCTCTCTTCCATAAAGTTTTTTAATTTAGGTCAAATTACGAAATGTTATCGTTGCATATTTTTCTATGAGATTTGAGCAAATAATACCTTTAGTAATATCGATGTGCCAAGTCTAAGTATACAAATAGGATCGGACTTAATATTTTCATAACTGAGTCGAACTCTAAAAGTTGGACATTCAAATTGTGACGCGCATTCAATTTTTTCATAAGGGCTATCTAAGAATTGGAAATATAAATGAAAATGGGTAATTGGCGCAAAATGTTCCTACCTTTGAAGGTTTTTTTTGTAGAAAACGTCCTTACCTTTCGTTTTTGGCACAAAACGTCCTTACATTTCATATTTTTTGCACTGAACGTCATTTTCACCAATTTTTAGCATAAAATGATCAATATACCCTCCTATATAAATAAAACAAAAAAAAAAAAGAATAAAGAATAAATTGCAATCTGCTCCTAAACTTTTTTAAAAATGTAAATCAGTCCAAAACTTATGAAAATATTAAAAATAACAAAAACACGCTCTCTCTTCTCCTCCACCTCCCTCCACCACCTCTACTGTCTGATGACCATATCTACTCTTCTTCACNCTCCTCCACCTCCCTCCACCACCTCTACTGTCTGATGACCATATCTACTCTTCTTCACCTCCACAACCTCCGGATATTGGTATCAATACAATCTCATCAACACCCTCTACAATTTCATCCCAAAAATTCCCCATATCATTGTAATACCCAGACCAAGAAAATTTAAAAGGATTTGATAGGTACTACTCATACCAACAAGGTGCACCTTCTTTTCCGGAAGTCCATCGTTAAAAACTCCACAATCAAGCGTGCTTGGCTTGGAGCAATGCTATGATGGGTGACCTCCTGGGAAGTTTAATCGAGGAGCGTGCGAGTGAGGACTAAGTA